ATACATTGGATATCATTTTAAACCCTTAAATGCATTAAGTCATGTAATCCAAGTAGCTCTATAAGGTAGGGTTCATTATTAAGAGGTAGGAAAACAAGCATAGAAATGTTGAGTAATGTGCTCGTAGATACTCAGTAGCCAGAAGTATTTAGATTCAAACCAAGCCAGCCATGATGCAGAGCTTCCTCCATATCTTTCAAGTACATACTGTGCCACTATATTCTATAAAGACATCTGACAGCATGTTTCATCAAGTACAAACAGGTGGTGGTCCTATTGAGAATTTTACGTAAAAGTATATACTGTCTGGAAATCTAAGAATAATCCATTATTCCAATGGTCTCACCTCTTTAAGACAATGAGTTTTAAAATGGAATATACAGTAAATATCAGTAATTCTGATGCTAAGGTAATTTATGCTCCTCAGTGTGTTAGAGAACAAAATCATTCCTCAAAGAAGAATCCCTTTCTTCATTCCTGGTTCTGAAAAAAAAAATCGCTTTTCTCTCATAGAAATTACTGTGGTTTAGTTGCCTAGTGTATAGCGTAGTGTAGCATTGGGTAGTCCAGTCCAATTCAGTCTAGTCTAGTCTAGTCTAGTCTAGTCTAGTCTAGTCTAGTCTAGTCTAGTCTAGTTTAGTCTGGTCTAGTCTAGTCTAGTTTAGTTTGTTGCTAGGACCAAACCTAGGGCATACTAGGCAAGCACTCTACTGCTGAATTATACCCCAGTCAAAACTATTGTGTATTTCTTTATTTATCAGATATATGTGTGAGGAAGCAAGAAGACAGAAGAGTAAAGGAACAAAAGAGAGTCTGCTAACAGTAGGACTAAGACCAAGTAACACCACAGTTGCCTTATAGCCTGGTTTCCTCCATCCAAAAAACACTTGTTTATATTTTTAAACCCTAAAATCCAACTGTACTTCAGAAATAGTCAGAGGGCATATATTTATTATGGAATTTTTCTCAGAAGAAAATGTGTAACTGATCAAAATTAAAGCCAAGTATCTGTGAACAGATTGTTTTCTAAGCAGCAATTATTCTTGTTGTCCTCTCCTGATAACCCACATTTCTACTGTGCAAGAATTATTAGTGCTATAAAGTCTCACCTTGCAGTCTGAGACTGTTTCAGCTTACTGAAGTCTCTCATTAGGCTGATGAGTAGGAAAATCCATTTGTCTTTTTTCCCCTCCCATTCTTTTCCCTTCCTTTCAACACCTCTTCCTCTCCTTATTTCTTTGTTTCCATTTTATCCTTCCTTTCTTTTATTCTTTTCCTTTCCTTTCTCTCCCTCTCCCCTTCCCTGGTTCCACTCTCTTTTTGAGCAATTTCTTCCCATTTTGCTGTATCCCTTGTACAATTTGGTTCTTACTTACACTTTCAGTTTCTCACAGCAGTGAGGCAATGCAATATTGACATGTGAGTCTTGTTTCACTTGAGTATGGTCTCAAGGCCTAATCAATAGGAAATCTTGTGCCTAGTGTCTTATACTTGGCAATATATTTTTGTGGCACTTTCGTGAAAAAGATCAATTTAATGTGTTCATCAGTGTCATGTAAAAATGACAGACTATGCCAGCAGCCCTGAAACAGATCTTATCTTCCATGAAAGGCTGTTAATACCAAGGCCTTAAACTGTGACCTTATAGCAAAAGGTCTAATGAAAAAATGGGCACAGAATTTAAAAAACTCCATACTAGATAGAAGACCTCTGGTATTCTAGAGACTGTGTCTTGAAGTACTTTTTGAACAAAAATAATAATTAAGAAAATAAAAAGGAAAACCTAATTAGGATAATTAGAGTTGAGCTCATTCAAATTCAGTTTGATGGCTATTCAATATTTGGGGCTTTATGAGTGTGAGAAATCTTCCCATCAAAGGCATTAAGTAGCCATGATGAATGCTACTAAAGCACACATTCTTTCCCGCTGCTTTATACTAGATTAAGGCAGACAACCTATCACTTCAAAAAGCGGAAGGAAATACTTTGTACAACTTTGTAGAAAGTGTCAAGCTGTGGCAGTTATTTCACAAACAAAAATCCATAGAACCATAGAAAAGTCAGAAAATCTCAAAGTTTAAGCATGCCCACTAATTTCTACACTATAAACTGCATTAATACTGTAGACTAATTAATTTGAAGATAATACAACTTCTCAAAAAGCCTGATTTTGCTTATCAGAACAGCACAATATTCTGATTCTACTGTTTACTGAATATCTTTGTGAACTAGGATTTTTCTGCTATTACAGTGTTTAGGAAAAAAAAATGATGAATTGATAATGAGTTACCCTTGTCTCACCCTCTAGGGGAAGGTAAGACAGTGTGAGAATTAGGACCACAGATATTAAAATTAGAGTGGCCATTGCTCAAATCCAGACATAATTTTAGCTATTAAGCTTGTAAACAGCCTCTAAAATTTGATTTGTTATCTGCTTTAAAGGTAATGAGAATAAATGAATAAGATACATAAAGTTTAAGTATAGTATCTAGGATATAATATGAATTTTTGAAATTGTAGGTCTTATAACAGCTGCATGCATAAATAGCACACATTGTAGTATTTGTATTCACTGTATAAATAATAGTAACTTAGTGAAATTTGCTCAGCAAACAAATTTTTTTCTGTCTTTCACAAAGGGGTCATCATTTTAACATGAAAAAGCAAAATGAGAGGTGTGTAGTATCTAAATTCTGTTTGTGTTGATAAAATGAATTTAGAATGGAATAGAGTTAATTTATGCAAAATTTGTACACATGTATTTTTTGTGAATAACATTGTTCTCATCAATTTCTTACAGATATTCATGACTTTTCTTCCCTTAAAAAAGATAAATTTAGACATTTTTTTTCTTTATATCAATTTAAAGGAACAAAGTAAGAATATTCAGTAATTTCATGAAATGTGATGGTTGGGGTGGGGTGGAAAGAAAAGACACTAAGAAGTGAGGAGTGCCTAGCCTTATGTCTTCAAACCTTCTGCCTACTTTCTTCTCCAATGTTGTTGAGTTCCTGTTACTTTATTTAGTGAAACTCTGCATTGTTTCTAATGATTTTTTTTACTATTTTTTATTTTCTTTAAAAAATAAAATAAAATCTGAAAAAGAGGAAGAAGGAAGAAGAAAAAGGAAGAAGAAAAAAGAAAGAAGAAGGAGGAAGACAGAAGATGGAAGACGAGGAGTAGGAGGAGGAGAAGGAAGAGGAGAAGAAGGAGGAAGAGGAGGAAGAGTGGAATGGCCTGGAAAGAATCTACTAAAACACATTCTGAATAAAATGTACATGACAAATAGTAATACCAAACTAACCGTCTTTCTTCTCTTTCTATAAATGATAGTGATAACTCTCTTTTTCCACTGGATTTACTCAAAAGTTAGGTGATGTCCTTATATAAAGAGCCCATTGGAAATTGTAGCACAAAGGAAATGTTAATCTTTTTGTAGGAGCTAGTATGTTTCTACTCTGAAAAGTATAACATTTCCTATTATTCTTTAGTCTTAGCTCTTTTTATTTATCCTCAGTAGCTCCCCTTGAGCCTTTGACGCTTTTTCTACATGCCAGTCTGCCTGGGCCCTTATGCTGTTTTTGTACTTTGTTCCTCATTTGAATGGTTGTATTACAGCTGTATCCTTTTAAAGCTACCACACATTTCCCTTTAAAAGTAGGTGTCATATGCATAAGGGGAAGAAGGAAGAGAAGATTTCTTAAATATATACACTTTAAGCATGATAAGGTCTTATGATTTTTTTTTTTTTTTTTGCAACAGGGAAAAAAATCCCAAGTTCTTAATTTTTGGAGGCAGGAATTAAATAAACTATTTTACAAATATATTTTCCTAAATAAAGGCATATTTTCCCATGTCTAAGTGTTCTGATAATTTCTTATTCTAATAATTTCTTATTCTGATCATTTCTCTTTTTTCTGATAATTTCTTATTCTAGTTCTTCAAATGCTATTAATGCAACTTTCTTCAGTATTATTCTCTGGGGTCCAGAGGATGGATTCATTCCCACTACCACTTCCTCAGCAGTCCAGATATTTGATCTCTTTGCCCCAGCAGGGGAATTTTTCAGCTATGCACTGTGTACTAATAGCAGTTATCTGCTCAGAAGGCCAACTGTTACTCCTGCTGCCTCTTTGACTGGCTCTAATTTCCCTTATTTTGTTTCATTAGAAATTTTCTGGGTTTTCCAAAGAGGAGTGCTCCACACACCGAGCACTGAACACCTTTGTGGAGAACTTCCACTCTCGATAGAAATCAGCACTAACATTCCTGAAAGCTTGTATTGTGAGCTCCCTGGGGCTTTCCTTTAACTTTACTGTTTTACATGCTACTGCCTGTTCAGCCTTTTCACATAAGCTCTAGAACACATCAGGAAACTAGCAAATGCATGTTGAGTAACTAGAAAAGTAATTTTTTAAAATATATTATTTTAGAGTACAAAAGTGGGGAATTTGCATGCAAACCATATGATCATTTTACTTAGTGGCAAAATTATCTGGTACTAACATTTCTAAACTTTCATCCTGAAATGAAATTATGTTTTACAAATGTTTAATGGTGAATGTGTGCTCATAGCTACCTTTCCTGGGTTTAGCTAAACATGCCTAAATATGTGTTATGAATAGTAATTATGAATAGTTAAGAGTTACAAGATTAACAAGAAGCTAATACATCCATGCCATGATTCACTCTACTTATTCACACTCATTGGCAAGCACAAGGGCCTGAGTTCAATCCCTGGTACTGCCAAATAATAAATAAATACACCTATTCACACTCACATATGTACTTACACATATGTGTATATAATATCTATATCTCTATATCGACATTGATGTCGATATAGAGATATAGATATATTTCTTTTTATATTTTACAGATAGCATACTGGCAGACAGCTTTAGCCCCAACAGAGTATTTTCAGGCCCTGATATATCAGGTGTCAGGGACAGAGGTACACCTTCTGCCTCTCTGAGTTAAAAGTAACAGGGTCACATTACCTTTCTGGATCCTTATCACTGTCCTCCAGATGGCTAGTCCCAAAATGATGACCGTCAGCAGCCCACACACAGTGGCCACCAGCGCTCTGATGTTACGGGTGCTGCAGGCAGCCATGGTGAAGCCAAATCAAAAATCCACTCTTTGGTGAAATTCAACTAGATTTGCTTCTTCTTAGCCAAGAAATTTAATCAAATTCTGTTCTAAAACATAAAAAAAATTCTTCTTTTCAGTCATCTATCAGGCAGGTATCCTTGTATTTCAGGAGTTTTGAGGTTAATCCATTAGGACACAGTTCAAATCATCTAATAAAAGGTGTAGCTTCTGGTTGCAATGTCCTCATCCTTCCCTGAAAGAGTATCTGTAGGAAAAATATGACTGGCATTAAAGGAAAATAAAGATAAGTCAGGGCAATAAAGAAAGGGAGGAACTAGCACAGAGGTTCAAAGGGTAAATGTTTGGATAAGCAAGACAGTGAACAAAGGGAGTCAAAACAAAGGAACCAAAGAGAAAGTCAGGAAGGCAGGGGATCTTGGTATTCATCTGCAGCTAAGCCTGCTATACATTTGTCTTAGCACTGTCCAGTAGAGGTGGAGCAGCAGGAGTTTTGTGCCATGCAAACACCCTCTAGGGGAAATGAAGCATGCTGCCAGTGAGAGGACAAACAGCAGCAGCCACTAGTGATTCCAGTACCTGCATTCCTCTAAGGGTGCTACATTTGAGAGCTGCAGTTGGTGAGCAGGCATATTGGCTCAGAATGAGCCTTAACAAGTGCTAAGGCCTCATATTAAGTCCCATTTATTATGAGCTGAAATGTATCCCCACTAAAATTCATATTTTGGAGTTCTAACCTTAAGTCACTCACAATGTGACCTTGTTTGAAGATAAGTTTGCTGTAGAAGTAATTGAGTTCAAATGAGTTTATTAATGTGTCCTAAATCTAAATGGCTGTGTCCTTACAAAAAGAAAACATTTGGAAACAAACATGCATACAGGGAAGATGACGTGAAGCAACACAGGAAGAAGCCAGCCATCTATAAGCCACAGAGAGCAAGACTTTCCCACAGAATCCTCAGAAGAAATCAGTCCAGCTGGCAGGGTCTCACTATGCAGATCAGGTTGGCCTTGAGCTCATTTTGTAGCCCAGGCTGGCCTTGAACTAATGACAGTCCACCTCTCCCAACCTTCTGAATGCTGGGATTGCAGGTGCTCACTTGTACAGAACTTGGGAGATAATAGACTTGTGCAGAGCTGGGCAATAATAAATTCATTTATTCAAGCAGTTTGATTTCTATTGTTTTTGTTACAGTAGCCCAGGGAAAAAAATACTCTGGGTTTGTGCAAGCAGATGTCTCTCGGGAGGTGTAGCTCTGACTCTTCTGCCCAGGACTTCATGTTCTTCCCTGTCCCTCCACACTGTCAAATGAATGAAAGAATAAATGAGTGCTCACTTCCTCAGCATTCTGTTCCCAGTGGATGTCACAGGTGCCCTGGATGCTTCCTCAGTTCATCAAACCTACATTTAGTAAGTGGCTACAGTGTGTCAGGGTTATCAAAAGATACAAATGGGACCACAAAATACTCTTTTTATATGAGATGTCAAGATATAACTCCCAATCCAATGAAACTAATAGTAACAATTAACATGGAGAAAAATACATTTTAATTATCACAAAATACTAGACCATTAGTTCCTTCAGGAGTATTAAACAAGGTTTTATGAAATAAGATTTACATTTAAGCTGACCTGGTTTTCCCCAAAACAAAATTTGTGTTTTCCCCAATTTCCTGTAACTCTCACTTTGTCACAGTATAGCTTTGGGGAACATTGAGCATCAAGCCCTAATTTATTCAACACTGATTTTTACAATAGATACTGGGAAAGGGAAATGAACCAATTATAAAGGAAGGGATTGCTGAGTTGAGGAGGACAAGAGAAGGAGTGAGGGAAAGAGATATACCTATGTATATAAGCGGGATGGTTTGGACAACTACACTGTGGATTTCTGCTGGTCTGTGGAAAAGAGCAGTTGGTACTTAATTTATTTTGTCTCCTTTTTTCAGTTCTTTGTCCTTTTTCTATTCTTAATTTCTTATATTTTTCTTTCTTCTTCCAATTTTGCATGTATATATCTGATATGAACAGCTAATTTGAAGACAAAACTATGCATCACAACAAATACTATCAAAGTCATATTATTTTGTTTAGTGAAATTCTGTGTCATTTGTAATTTTCTGTTTTAATACTGTGGTGGTTGATACATTGTGTTAGCCTGAGATATCTGAAGCTTGGCTGAATCTGCTTGGCAATCCCCCTCCCTGGGGTTTGGGGGACCACTCTGGGAGGGGAGGGACCGCCTTAGAGTGATTCAGTACATAAAGGGTGTATAAAGGGTTTGAGGAAGGCTTCTGTGTGCCTTGCTTCCTTGGAGGAGTTCTGATCGTCCCTTCCCCTCTTCACAGCCGTGCCACTCCGGAAGAGCTTGATCTTTGCAACTGCACCACTTAGGAGGAGCTCCAGTCTTTGCAGTCAACAAAGAAGATAGGGAGAGAGGCTTGAGAGCAAGCTACACCTGCTTGACAGACGCTGCAACTGCTGCACCTTCCTCTGCTCACCACAATTTTCTGCTGCCATGAACTGCTACCTTCTTCCCTGGAGCCAGCCAAATTGGACTGAAACCTCCACTAACTGTGAGCTAAACAAACCTTTCCTTCCTTCATTTGGGGTGTTGAGTATTTTGTCCCAGCAATGAGTAAAAAGTAACTAAGACAAACACTGTTTTGTACTCTTTAAGAAATAAAAATTAAAAAAAGAAAAAACAGAGTTTCAGAGAAATGAAGTGGAAGGACTTAAAGGTGCTGCTGTAGAAGTACAAATCAAGTGAATGAACCTAGTCTCTCATTTATTATGGACATACCAGAGCTGTTTCTTCAATGTCTATCTATGTTGTCCCTAGAACCTGTCTCCAAATGTACATTTTTTAATGGAAATGTGAAGTACTTGGGGTGAGAAAAATAATTTTTAAAAATGTCACACTGGAGGCTGGGGATATAGCTCAGCAGCATAAGCACTTGCCTGGAAAGCACGAGGTCCTGAGTTTGATCCCTGACACCAAAAAAAAAAAAAAAGTGTAAAAATGTTATATTACTTTCACAGTTTGAAGTTTTCACCTTGCATATATTTCTAGCTATATTGGAATGGAATCCACCAACCTTAACGCCTAGTTTTATTATTTTAAGACAGTGTTTCTCTAAGTCACTAAGTGGTTCAGGCTGGGCTCCAAATTGTGATCCACCTGCCTCAGCCTCAAAGACTGCTATATAATAAAATATATTATTTTTATAATACTAACCTCAGTGCAAGTGCTGGAATCCTTAGATGCTGCAATGGCTGTAGCTCCTTAGAGCTGCTAGGTGCCCATCCATGTGACTGATTCTATAAAACTTGCCCCCTGTCTAGCTCAAATTCATGAGGGGAAGAAATTCTTAGGCTGAGATGTAGTTGTTGGTATTTAGATAAGGCCATGAATTACTACTGATTATAAACAAATGTGTAGGTGATCATCAATTTTTAAACACACACACACCAACATGACAAGGAAGAAAACTGGATAATCTCAGCAGTCTTTGAGGCTGAGGCAGGTGGATCACAATTTGGAGACCAGCCTGAACCACTTAGTGACTTAGAGAAACACTGTCTTAAAATAATAAAACTAGGCATTAAGGTTGGTGGATTCCATTCCAGTATAGGGGGAAAAAGACAAGGAATAAAAAGAAAACTAATCAAAAATAAATTCATTCACTAACTCCATTCATGTGGATTAAAATGTTGAGCCAACGAGGAAATGTTTCTGTCCTGACAACTTATACTTAGTAATATCTGAATTTGCACTGATGCTACTATTAATTTGTCTTTTGATCCTGGACAAACCATGTGAGAAACTTGGCCTTCATTGTTTCATATGTTGACCTAGTTGAGGCCTCCCCTTTCTGACCAGCTTAGTCCTAAAGTCAGTTGGGGAAGCGGAAAGGTGAACATCTGAAGTGTCTGTGACAGGGTACAGAGAGAAAAGGCATGGAGTGGGTGTCGAGTGCCAGGTGTGGTAAAGAGGGCATTCACAAAAAGGAAACTACTGTGAGCCATCAAATCCCAAGCAAGACTAGCAGGACATCTAAGACATGAGGACAGCTGGACTAACATGGACTATTTAAGCTGGACAGGAGTAATTTTGTGGAGGAAGGGTAAATTTCTGAAACAGACTACATACAGGGTGATAAAGCAAACAACAGGTAAACATATGAGAATAATTAGAATTAAGTTCCTCATTGGAGATGAAAGAAATTATAGATATGGAAAAGGAGAAAACTTTAATTCCTTGAGAATCCCAAAACAGGAAATGACAAATACAAAATAAAAGAAGTTACATGCTATTAATTCTTACAAAAGCAATGTCCTTCAGGGCAGGTAGCTGTCAGATAAAGGCACAAAAGCATCAGGAACTTCTTATCTGAACGAAGAAAAGTGTTATGGCCACTACAACAAAGGTAAATGCTTTGGAGGAAGGGCTTGATTTACTTTTTATTTCCAAAAATAAAATTTGAACAAAAAAGTTGTCACTGTGCCAAAAAAAAAAAAAAAAAAAAAACCTATAGTGTTGGGTTAGAATTGGCAATATATCATGAACTTATTATTATTATTTTCTCTGTATTTTAAATTAATTTGTGTATATGTAGTACATATATTTCAAAAAATAGCCAGTACATACATATATATAAAATAGGAACATACAGTCAAAGGTTACTTGTATCTATGCAATTGACATATTTGAGCATGCTTATAACATACACTACAATTTGCAAACATATACAAATTTCCTAGCTCTAGATACTCATAGGTCCTCAAATCAGTGATATATTACTAACTATAAGAAAACCTAAAGGCCAACCAATAGCTCAGTGGATTAAAGCACCTGCACAGGGGCAGTGGGATCGATCCCTGTGCCTGCTGTGCGGGCCCCACCCCTGGGGTGCTCTGAGATGACAATTCAGACTGGGCATGGTGCGCAAACCTGTAATCCCAGCTTTTGGGAGGCTGTAAACAGGGGGATCACTATGAA